CTTTAAGTGGTGCAAGCGTATGTTGTCACTCAAAAATTCAGATGAACCTAGAAAATAGTGAGTTTAATTCCTAAACAATCTGGAAGCAAGCACAACGCAGTGCAAATACAGGAAACAGGAAATGAGTACGGTTTACCGCAGGAAACAGCAGTGGGTCAAAGGTTCCGCATCCAAAAAAGGTTTGAGAAAAAGGCTATAGCACTCAGGAAACAACTTGTCCTTGAAAAATTTACAAAATGCAATAGAAAGTAAAAGCTAAAGGAGTGACTGTAGAGCACCTAGTAAATAACACCATGGAAGAAAACCACTCAATAACTATAATGGATTCTGGTTTACATTACAGCAGAGGGCATGTTTTGAAAGTAAGTAGGCTAGCAGCAGAGTTTGTTATGTTTGCTAGCTTCCGTTTACTTACTGCTCTGAAACTGTCCCTGGTTGAACATTTAAGAGGAAATGTGACTTTGTTTGATCATTGGTCTGCAGATTGAGGGCAGCAACCTTCAGAAGTGATATGCTGGATTCAAGGTTTTGCTTCTCATCACAGGCTCAGTCCCTGAGAACTGCTGATGTTTGAGTTGTCATGGGGCATTTATTAAAGATATAGAAGACTTACAGTACAGCCATGAGAGGAGAACTGAAAAGAACTTAGGTGTCAGCAAAACCAACATCAGCCAAGAAATTGGCAGCTACTCTAAATTGGAAATTAAAACAACAATATGGTGCAAGACGTGCAATTAATCTCAAACAAAGCAAAGACAGAGTCAGTGGACCTGTATTATTATTTCACATCAATTTAATGAGAAGAGCAAAAAAACACTTTACCTGAGCTGTGCCTTTCTTTTATTGTAAAGCACCTTGTAACTTAGTTTTAGAAAGGTGCTATATAAATAAATTTTGCTTGCTTGCTGGTATCTTGAATTGCCTCTGTGTTTGAAATTAAGCTTTATAAAATTTACACTATTTGTGCAGTTTTGGCTGCAGAGACCTGTCAAAGACAGACAGTTTTACAATTTTCAATGTGGATAATAAAACAGAAAGGAGAGTTTTTATGTTTGTTCATAGTTTGAGACTGTGGGCAAAAATAAAAAATCTAATGAATAATGCCGATGTCATGACCAGGTTAGTTATTTGGCAGCTGACATGCGTATATTGCCTCACAAGAAGAAAGAAACCCAGACACATGGTTCTATTAGATTGTATGTAATCATAGTTGCACATTTGAGGGATGCCAGGCTCTAGTCATGATTAATAAATGTAGTGTAATCTGCTACTGATAAGTATTAGTACAGGCCGCAGATGTCTCATGAAGTGGCATTACTGAACGTTTCCGACTGAGCAACAGAGACTCATTTCCTTGTTACAGTCCAATTTTATGAAAGTGCTTCTTATCACCTCTAACTTCGACTGTTATGAGGCCAGCTCCTGCCTGCAAATCAACTGGTTCACATGTTCTGACTGAACCAGATCTGTGAAATCAGTGTCGAAATATTAGTTAAAAATAATGATGAACAATGTTTGTTGCCAACCTGTCAAGTCCAAACAGATACTGTCTTACTAAAAGCACTGTATCGTTAATAATTCGTATTAATAATCCCACAGAAAGAGAGAGGCCTTCAAAGTTGCAATTCAAAGAATTCACAACCTTAGGGCAGTGTTATATTAAATACAGATTATCCAAACAGCAGAAATGGAATCCAACAGATGGCCACTTGATATGAATGTTCACTGCCAAGACCACAGCTCTACCTAACAATCCTCATCAAAGTGAGGTGGAGTCACTGCCATTGTTAGCTACTGGTATACTAGGTCTAACGGCATGTGGCACTTGTTAAAGGCATGTCATGGATGGTCCCCTGCCAGGTATATCACTGGTAACAGTATAGCATTAATTCAATGATAGCTTCATCTTCTGTTATAACATTATAAGTTATAAGTCTGACATAGTGCCTGCCAGTGGGAAGTGGTACTGTACCTGTAAGTGAAACACGTGGCATTTTTTCACCTCATAGCAGTGGTATATGTATGTCAATAGAGAAACTGTGTTTGAAGAGTGGTATGTTCCAGTGGAAGAGAAGTGATATGCCTTTTATGAGTATGCTGATAGGACAGCAGCGACCAGTAGCCAACAGTGAAAGGCCACTAAAAATCAGCATGCACCATTAAACCGGTAGAAGCACACCATTCCAGTCACTTAAAAATGTCGGTGTCACTCAGGTAATCAGTGTTAATTGAACCGTAAAATGCAACATTTGTCCAATTGCATCCTTTACTCATTCTTGATTCTCTACAGGTGTCTATAGGAAGCAGGGAGGACTTGATGACTGACTACTTCACACGGAGTCCCGCCCCCTTGGTTCCCATTGGCAGAGATCAGGTGACTCCCACCAGCTATGTCACCCCCACTGTACAACCATTCAACCAGAGGCCAGGCCAGAGCGTGAAGCCTTCGCCCCGCCAGCCTGTTGGCCAGTCCCCAACCTCAGGCCAGCCTGCCAGCCAGAGAACCAGCCAATCACTGAACAGAGCCTTTAGCCTGGCCTCAGCTGATTTGCTGCACTCTACTGGACCAGACAGTTTCCGTGGAAATGAGGGATCTCCTGGCCAATCAGATGTGGTGGTTTGGCGGAAAGGGGGAGGAGCTAATGGGAGAGAACGGCCCCTCTCAGCTCGTCTGGCTGGTCCAACCAATCAGTATGGTGATGGCAGCATCATTAACCCACCCATTCACCAGTCATCCTCTCTCAATCTGCAAACAGAGAGAGAGAGAGGGAGGACTCCTGTCTCTCGGAACGGCCCTTCCTCCTCCTCCTGCCTTCACTGTGGAGAGGTTGCTCCGGTAACCCCTGTCAGGGCTGTGCACGCCACATGGCCCGATGAAGCCTCTGAGCATGGGGACGTGTTAAAGGAGGAGCGACTAGGTGACCCCTCCCACTTAAAGAAAGAAAGTGAGATAGCGAGGAGTGGCTCTGTCGAACGCCCAAAAAGCACACCAGCTTCCCCTGACCCCAACAGTGACCCCCAGACTGTGTGGTATGAGTATGGTTGTGTCTAAACACTGCAGGTGACTCATGTCTGTGGGTGTGACTGTGTCTAAAGACAGGAACCAAATACTCTAACCTACAGTCTGCTGGGGCTGCATGCTGGAGCTCTGTGGGTCTTTGAACTAAGCTGATTGTATTGTGGATAAATGTTGAAACTTAAAACTCTTGGGAAGCTGTATGTTTACGCTTTGTTCCAGTATGAACCACTGAAAGTTTGTTAGTAGGGCTTTGTCTAAATCCTGGAAAGAAAAGCCACATTTAAAACGTTCCTGCACAGAGGAGTTATGTTTTATCATTTGGAGGTAGCTTTCCTAGATGAAAAACTAGACCTGATTCCATATACTGTACATCCTGCCAATACAGCTGATTAAAACAGTTAATGAGGAAGCTTTCCAGAGCTAAGTATCTTCTCTGATTAATGGGTCTGTGGAGTCAGTTTTCACTCCCCACATCTCATCAAAAGCTGAATCTCACAGAGCAGGATGCAATATAGGTTTGACCTCAATCACTGGTGGGCTTTCAAGGATTTAGACTTGAACAAGACAACACTAAAGAATGTCTGTTTAACTGTGTTGCTCTTACTGTCTGTTTGAAACATGAATTGCAGATGTTTTGATCAGATGATGATTCAGAAGTTCTGATTTTAACACATACAGAAATAGTGATGGAAGCTGCAAGACTCCGAATCCATAACTTTTAAAGCCTGCTGGAAGAGACATGTGCTACACTAAGAACTGGCTTTATCTAAGAGCTAGAACTCTTTAACTGCTGACTGACACACTGTCTGGTCCTGCAAATGTTTACCTGGATGTCACCAATGCTGCACACCTGGAAGTCAGGAATTACCCCTCATCTCGATCAAACACTGGAAAAGACCAGAGAGCAAGGGAATGGAGGGACTCGAGCAAAGAGAGAGAGTGAGTAAGAATAAATGGAGGGAAGGAGGGATGGTGGCCAGAGTGAGACAGAAGAAGTGACAGATATAGAGATGGATGGAGTGATGAGAGGATGGATAGATAAACAGGCCAGAGATGGAGGGGCTCCTCCCAGTTAAATTACAGTCTTCTTCCTCCATCTTTGGATTTTGTCCCAGCATTCAACACTCTGACACTTTACTGGAAATGTTGCTCAACCCGAGCCAACACTAGTTTCAAACACACACACACACACACACAATGATATATACAGAGTACCGACAGAGAAGCATTGTCCTTGAGGGTTGGTTGTGGCCTCTCTAACCATTGAGCTGGACTTGATGTGCACACACACACACACACACACACACACACTGACACTGCTGGGTAAGCCACTGTTTTTAGTAGGGTGTACTGCTGCATGCTAAGTTAGCCAGACAACAGAGTGAGAGAGATTCAGCCTGCATCCAGGGCCACTGTGGTCTGGATGCTTAGTGAATTAACATTGGCAAATTAGAGTTTGGTTTAGTATTTATGATGGGTGAATACACCAAGTGTTTGGCAGGTTGTTCTGTCATTCTGTCAGGAAACAGACCCACAGAGTAATGAAAACAAAATCATCCAAGTGTCTGGTGAAAAGCTGACTTTGGTGCACATTAAATCTTTAACACACACGATGGTATGTGGGCCAACATGGCTACATATAAACCTTTACTCATGTCACAGGAAGAGGCAGTATGGATAAATTCTTCTACAACAGTTTGTCATTTTAAAATTGATTACAGCTGAAACAGCTGGTTAATCAATTTGTTAGTTGGCAGAAAATTAGCCTGTAACTATTACAAAATTACATGATACATTTTTTAGTCATTTTCAAGCAAACATTTCAAACATTCTCTGCTTCCAGCTTCTGAACTGGGAATTTGCTTTTGTCTTTAATTTGTGTTAGCTCACATACACTCACACACACACACACACACACACACACGACTCATCAGATCAGGTGCTACTATCCATCAGCACAAGTGATCAGCCGAGTGACGAGCTGTACGCCGTTTCATTGAGGTGTTGCTATGGGTCCAAGTTTATGTCCTGCCTATTGTTTACAGCAAACACGGAAACGGGCCAGTTATAAAACTGAGGATTGTAAAGTGAAGCATTAAAATGGTCACTAGGAGCTGGACAGGCGAAGTGAGCAGCAGATCAGATGGAACTTTCAGGATTCCCCAAAATTTACAATATTGGCATTAATATGTTCTAAATGTAGCTGAAAATGAAATCAGGCGGCATCTTCTTAAATGGATCTAATCACTTTCATCTCATAATTACGAGACCTGGATCTTAGAATATTACTATGAACAGTGCTTTCCACTGATTTAGTATAACCAGAAATTTAAAAAGGATAGATACCTCAGTGTAAACACTGATTTATACTGTCTTACAGCACATAGTCATACTGGCCAAAAAGTACACGGCGGTGTATTTATAGATGTACATATTATTTATTTCAGACACCTCCGATCTGACCGCCCACCTCCTTCACATCCACCATGCTTCCACTCAGGGCAGCAGATGTCTGACTCCCACAGTTGAGAATAACAGAAGTGGTTTGGTCTTCAACACTTACACATTTAACTAAACTAGGCTAAAAGTCACATCCTCACAAAAAAAAAAAAGACCACAGTAGTAAGATGTGTGTCTGGTGCTCAAACATGACAGAACGATACCTTCATCAGAGCCAGGGGTCTGTTGGAGGCGTGATTCATTTTGGTACCAGTGTTGTCGCCACTGGACTGTTGGGGAATTTACAAATGCTTGGTGTATTTTTTTCTGAATTTATCATAGAGAAGAGGAAGGAGGATAAAGAAGAGGCGTAGGAAAGGAACTAAAGTTTCCCTTTGAGATAAAAGATGATGATAATGGGGCACGGGGCATTTAAAGCCAGTGACACTGATTGACCGACCATTTGTTTGTACTTTCCTGCATTAGAAAAGACAGTGACAACAGACATTCCTAAAAGCACTAGAATGAAGAGGAGGAGGTGTGAGATGTAACACTGGAGCTGTGAAAATGAACATTTGACTGGAATCCATCACTAACGAACAAAAAGCACATGTCAGTATGCAACAAGCTAAATTATTTTACCTGTAATGTTTGTACATGATGTTAGAGTCTATAAACTGGCCAGATATTACAAAACCTGGGATACCTGTTGCAAAATCTTTAGAAATGTACAAAAAAAAAAGAAATCTAGATGAATTCCACTGTAAAACCCTCATATTTGTAAATTATTTGTTTGAAAAACCTTTAGATATTCTAGTAGCGAGATCATGTTAGCAGAGGACGTGACACAATGTGAAACACTGTAGGTTGATGCTGTCAGTAGTTTACCTGTCTGTTTACTGTGTTTGAGTTGGTGTGTGTGTGTGTGTGTGTGTTGTCTTACCACATCTCTGCATCATTACATCCCAACACCCTTCAGGACCTGTGTGTGCATGTGCACATCAGTGTCGGCCGGTTTCAGTGTTCTGATGTCCAAATGATAAAGGAAAATGCCGAGAAGCAAATGTTCTTTTATTGAAACACCACCACTACACACACACTTTTGTATGTGTCTTACATTATTGTGCTGTTGTTGGCTTTCTGGAAGGTGTGTGTGTCCGTGTGTTTGCATCCTGTCTGTTGTTTCTCTGCGTGTCTATCATCTGCTTTGCTGCTCGGCTGTAATGGCTATTTCTGATCTCTGTTTCTGGCTTTCCCTGTCTCACCACCACTGTGCAACCTTTACTGAAAGAAAGTGCTGCACCACATGGGAGAAGTGAGAGCAGAAGATGAGGTTGAGCTGACATCACTGGCGTTTCCTGCTGTAACTGGAACAACCGCTGCTGTAGTTCACTTTATGACTATTGCTATGCTGACTACTGTTAAGAGTTTGATTCAGTGGAACACACATCCAAAACCTTTTGGTAATAAAGATTTATAAAACTGAACTGATACTCCTTCGGTTTCTAAGGTGACTTCACTTTAAGTCACAGGTGCCTGCTGGACAAGTTCACAAGTCATAAGTATGTTTGTCGGCAAATATGCAAAAAAAAAAACCCAAAAAACAAAATCATTGTGCAAAGCAGTAAGCAGCAATAAATGTTTAGTTACATATAAGCTTTCTTAATGCAGGATTTCACTTTTATGTGTTCACATTTAATAATATAAAATAAATTATGATGGTGTTTACTGGCTAAAAATGACCTTTATCTTGTATTTACTGTTGCAGCCATCTATTTATTAATATACATTGTTTAGTTGATTGATGACATTTTTAATGGCCTATTGAAAGTCATTTATCAGACTTATGATAGTAAGTTGAATGTCTGAGGGTTATTGTAAAACTTAAGCACTTTGAAGATGATACCTTGAAAATATTATAGGCATTTTTCACTAATGAGAAACCACTAATTAGGATTCATTAATTAAGCAACGGTGAAAATACTGTTAGCTGCAGCCATAAAGTTTATTGTTCAGAGTTAATCAGGAATATTTTACTGTGATCACAAAATGTTTATGACTTGTATTTTGTTCATCTATTAACATAATTATCAAACTGATTATACCTATAATTATTAAAATCAGTACTGGCCTTATATTTAATTAATTAACTGTTATTTAGTTAGTATTAAATAAATACTTTAGAATCTCAGATTTCACTATATGCAGATGATGTAAATTTCCAAACTCAGCCAGTTATTGATTCTCTCACTGCATTAGCTAAGGAGCAAATTCATTTTTCATTGATTTCTGGATTGAAGCCTAATTATGAAAAATGTAATGTTCTCCACGATGGATCGCTGAGTGGTACAAACTTTGAGTTGTGCTGTGATTTACCAATAAATTGGACTGATGGTAGGTCACATACTGTCACATGGATGGATTCCTGGGTGAATCCTGTAAAATGCTGTCATTTCACCTGGTATGAAAAGGTAGCAGTTTGCGTAGTCTCAATCTCTTACACGAAGGTCAAACCACAACCAAAACCCTACTTTAACCAAGTAGCCAGTGGACACAGTGCATGTAACGAATCTTTTTCTCTAGAGTTGGTGGAGACCAAAGCAGAGCTAAAAGAATACTGGACACAAACACGACTATAACAGGAAATAAAACAACTGAGTCATCAGTGGAAATACTGGTTTATTTGAAAAGAAAAATTCTCATTAATTTTAGCTTTTTAATATAAAATGCAGTAGATTCAACAGAGAATGAAAAGGAATCAAGTGAGGGAGTTGTCACAGAGAATGAGTCAAACCTCCAGGTATTGATGGATACCTACAGATCTTTATCAGGCTTTTTATAATGCAGTTAGGTTTCCACTACTTACAGTTGGTCATAAATAGAAGCAATGCTCTGATTCTAAAATATTATCAAAATGTCTTGCAAGTAGACTGAAAAAAGTGCCACCAAATGTTATTCATTCAGATCAGACCGGTTCTTTGAAGACAAGATTAGACAGATTATAGATTAGACACTGGGAGTTTAGTAGAGCCCCTGCACTGGTGGTCTTTGGTGATTTTGAGAATGTCAGGTGGGATTTTATTTGCAAATGTTTCGAACATTTTAATTATGGAAACTCACTGAATAATTGAATATAAGTAATGTATAAAAATCCAAAGTGTAAAATAATAAATAATGGATATATTTCTGAAAACATGAGGCGGCCTAGACAATTAAAACAAGGGTGCCCCCTCTCTCCATTGATTTATTATGGCATTGGAGAAATAACAAGGCTTGAAAATAAATACTTTAGAATCTCAGATTTCACTATATGCAGATGATGTAAATTTCCAAACTCAGCCAGTTATTGATTCTCTCACTGCATTAGCTAAGGAGCAAATTCATTTTTCATTGATTTCTGGATTGAAGCCTAATTATGAAAAATGTAATGTTCTCCACGATGGATCGCTGAGTGGTACAAACTTTGAGTTGTGCTGTGATTTACCAATAAATCAGACTGATGGTCTAATACGTAGATGTTTTATGTATACACTGATCAGCCATAACTTTATGACCACTGGCAGGTGAAGTGAATAACACTATCTGTTACAATGGCACCTGTCAGTGTGTGTATATTAGGCAGAAAGCATCTCTAATATCTAAACTTATTTTTACTGCACACTGGTTCTCAGCAGAACAACTTTATCCTTACCTTCAATTAACTGATAAAAAAGAAAATCCTTTCCTTACTTATTGGGTTTTTTGGAAGAAGTATGTGTATCAATACCATCGACTATAATCAGCTGAAATATGAAACCAAGTTTTATGGTACAATCAAAATTATTCAGTGAATCAATATTTTAAAAAGCAATTTCGATTGTAAATGATCTTTTGGACAGTATGGGTAAAATGATGTCTTATGACACAATTAAATTAGTCTGGGAATGTCTGTGACCTTTAGACATATAACAGCAGCTGTGGAAAAGGAAAACTGATCAAAATAAATGTTACCCCAGACTAAAGGAAATAAAATGAGGGATGAGGTAAAATTAAATAAAAAGATGTATCAGTTCTACATACAGTATATATTAAGAAGTTACAGCTACATTACCTGTTAGAATTAGTTAGTACTATATTAAGAAGTTACAGTTACATTACCTGTTAGAATTAGTTAGTACAACTAATTTACAGATGTTTAGCTTCTGGGAAATGCTTTGAAAATGGGGTACTGGAGTGGAACATGTAGACTTTATGAGGAAAAGGACGAGTGGTGCCGTAGAGAAGCAGCACTGTTTTGGAAGGAAGCTGAAAAGTGGGTTTCTTCCTACAACACAAGCTTCTATAGTTGTCCTTTTAGTATAATGTTAGGAGATTTACCAGAAGGTAAGTAAGGCCAGATTCTGAACAATACTGTTATAATGGTGGGAAGATATTTTACTTTTTTGCTATGATGTTTTATGTTGGCTATTCTGTATTGTACAGCACTTTGTGCTCAGGTGAGCTGTAAAGTGCTTTAGAAATAAAGTTTATTTTTTTAAGTATAAAGAGACAATTAAATATAGAATGTTTTAAAAAGTATTTGAAGCTCCAGCAGTTTCTTAGAAAAGGCTACAACTAAAACTAAAGACCAGAATTTAAACTGTGGAGGCAGGTGGAATGTTCTTAGGCCGGGTGAAGGGTGGAATTAAGAAAAGTGTAGAGCATTTGTAAATGTTAGAGGAACATAGAATAGGTTGTTATGAATGTATGACAGTGTGTTGTGTTTTTGAGTTGCTAATACTGCTACTGTATATGCAGAGACATGTCTAACGGTCCGTATGTGTATGTAAATGTGTTGATGTAGATCCTGTGCCTGTATATCTGTGGCATTACTGTAGCTACTGGTCAAAGGAAAAAGTGTTTCTTTCTTTATTTTTTTCAAAAAGCAAATAGCATGGTTGTATGTAAAAAGGTACTCGCACACAAAAAACATGATTAATGCTGATGTAGCTGGAAACAATTCTTTCTTAACATTCATCTTAACAGCTTTAACCTCTTGTGTCCAAGTTGTGTTTCCAGCTTGCTGTGTTGTCCCCAAGTGGCCACAAGCGCAGTTAATACAACTTTAAACAGCAGTAAGAAAAGTGTTTTTACAAAGTCCAAATGAATTAATGCAAAATACATATATATATATATGATGTGTGGCCAACATCTAGGGGAGGGTGTTTGCTCTAGGTGACTTGAACACAACAGAATTATGGCCATGGCTGCGACACACTACACACACATCTGTGTGTCCATATTCCACACATGCACCTAGTCCATATAAGATATAATACATATAATACATCACAGGACACACTGTCTTTGTGCAGCTCCGTATTTTGACCATGATGCGTCGGAGTGTGGGCAGAGTGTGTAGGTGTGGAGGAGACGCGTGTGCGGGAGCGACAGACAGAGGAAGAGAGGACGCGGTCAGTTTGATGCAGGCTGAATGGCCCGAACGATCCGGTAAGAAATAGTCTTTAATTCGTTTAAATGTCCAGGATAATTGCTGCTTGAACTTCGTGTATGCGTGTGTGTTTTCTCCTGCGAATCAACTGAGGACAGTTTTGGTGTGAGTTACAGTCGGTAGATTAAGAAGTCGTGGTTTATTCATCGTATCTATGGCTGAAGTGACATGTCAGAGGACTTCTGCTGTTTATGAGTGATTGTGATAAGGACGAGTATTTGTTCATTCTTGTGTGTGTGTGCTCCGCCGACGGATTTAGGCAGGGTACGGATGCCTGTTCACACTGTCCTGTGCAGTTAGTCATCACCAACTATTAAGTCCTGTCAGGGGACTTGTGCCGCTGGACACCGTCCTCCCGTCTAAGCCGCTGGGGAGACGGCTGGAGTCCGCATGGATCCTATTTACGGTGTGAAGCTGTGGGGAAAGCTGCTGCAGCTGCAGATCGGTGCATCCACATGACACTGGTCATTATCACTGGCTGATGGACTGCAGAACACGTAGCTCAGTATTGACGAAACGATACCTTGAGTGGAAACTGAAGATGCAGCTACACACGCACCTGAGTGGCACCTGTTGTAGTCCGTTTACTGCAGCGGCCCCTCATCAGAATACACGGATAGGCTACTATAAAAAATATGCCTGTAACCAGGGTATACATTTCACTACGCCCTGGAATCTGCTCGTGATGCCCTTTATATCTGAGTTACACGGCTCCGGTTTCCCCTCATCAGGTGTGACAGGCGTCTTATCCATCAGATCTTCTCAAGTCCGTCAGATCGTGATCGGTCGTTCACGGAGGTGTGTGTTTATCGATGTATTGTGGATGTATTGATAAAGATGGTCACCCGAGCGCTCCTAACCTCCGTGGTTCATGTAAGCTGGCAGAAGATGCTGTAGAATCTGATGTTAGTCGCTCTTTAACACCAACATTTTGACGAACTGTTTGTTGGTGAACTTCTGCCTTTTCTATGCGGTATTTTTTTAGCTCAGACTGCGCATCAGTCAAGCTGGCAGTGCTAGAAGGTTTCCTTTAGTTTGACTGGATAAGCAGAAGGAAGGATGGAATATGTACCTCTGTATAAGCTGCAAGGAAACCCAGAGGCTGTAAAATGTTACATTTAGTGCTGAAATCGTGTTTTTCTGCTATTTGAAATATTGCATATGCTAAATGAGCACTATATTTCCAGTACTATCTAATTGCAGTGGTGGAAAGTAACTAAGTACATTTACTACTGTACTTAAGTAAAGCTTTGAGGAATCTGAACTCTACTTGAGTATTTTCATTTTCTGTTACCTAATACTTTTGCTTCCCTACATTTTAGAGGCAAATATTGTACCATTTCCACTACATTTATTTTATAACTTTGGTTACTAGTTACTTTTTAGAACCAGATTAATACAAAAAAGTCCAGTATAATGATAAGACCTCTGATCTGTGGTGTAAAAATTCACAAGCTACCCAGCAGCAATTCAGATTAGAAGCATATAAGTTAACTTCCTCTTTACCAGCTGCAACATTAAATGTGTGTACACAATAATGCATCAGTAATACAATAATATGATAGAGGAATGTGAAATGCACTATTCTGCATAGAGTACTTTTAAGTACCTTAATTATGTTTTGATGCTAATACTTTTACTTAAGAAACATTTTGAATGCAGGACCTTTAATGTAACGGAGTATTTTTACATTGTGGCATTGCCACTTAAGGAGTCCTACTTAAGTAAATGTTACGGCGAGCTGTGCGTGAGTTGTTTAGGACCCAGTAAATATGCAGATTCGAACCCAGGTTAGACAAGAAAAACGTATTTAATGCTCCACAAAAACAAACAAAACAGAGCTGGTCTCGTCCGCTGATCTTGGGGCAGCTGGGCACACTGGGTTGACTGGACTACTGTCTCCCGGGGTGTATGAGAGGTGTAGCTCGCTAAATAAGAACAGAGAGAGAGTTTAAGAACAAGCAGCAGGTATAGTACAGACTGTTTCTGGTAGTCACTCTGGGGACCTGAACAGCTGAGTGCGCCGCAGGCCCAGGGAGTAGTCCAGGGAGGGGGAGACTGGTGCCAGAGATCCCGGGTTGGTGTGTGGGTTCCCTGATGAGGCAGCGCCGGTAGCTGGGCGGTGCGACGTAAGATGGTGGCGCTGTCCCAGGATTGCCTTGGAGCTCTGAGAGGAGGAGCAATTCACAAAAAGCAGTCCAAAAACCAAAAAAAAAACCTTTAAACGTGAGAAGGGCACGAAAACCGATACAACAAAACAATGCGCAATAACAGTTCACAATGTTGCAGAAAGGAGCGCAGATCAAACAGTAGTCCATAAACTTGAGGCCTTGACATGAACAAGAAACGTAGTTACCAACAGAATAACACATAATAATCTGGCAACGAGGACGCACCAACGCTGACCCTATATACTGCTTCGATAATGGAGAGCAGATGTGCCTCGTCGCCTGGAATGCACCCTCACCTGTGCGGGGGCGGAGCTGCTGGACTACCTGTGCCTGCCACCGAGGTACAGGGGGCGGCCCGGGTCACGGACGTAACAGTAAAGGATCTGAGTACTTGTACCACCTCTGTCTAGTTGTCAGTACTGGCAGTAATAAGTCAATTCATGTGCAGTTTATGTATGAGCAGAATTCAGGCAACATCAACTACAATCTTAGGCAACAGCAGAGAGCAACAAGAGCTTAGTTTGCCTTTGAGTCTAAATGTGCACAGATCACACCATTTACCATCCAAATTATAATAAAGGTGCACAGTTACTATACTGTGGCTGCATATTTCCCTTTAGCAAGTCTACAAGCATCTGCACTTTAATTTAAACTTAACATGTATGTTGTTAACACCAAATCCTAGTCTGTAACTTTACTGCTCAGGCTGTGTACACATAAGCTATTTACACATACTATACATATTATGTCATTTGTCTTGGCCTTAGCGCCCAGTCTAGTGGCCTTAGTGCCCAGTCTAGTGGCCTTTGTGCCCTGTAGTGGCCTTAGCACCCAGTCTAGTGGCCTTAGCACCCAGTCTAGTGGCCTTAGCGCCCAGTCTAGTGGCCTTAGCGCCCAGTCTAGTGGCCTTTGTGCCCCGTCTAGTGGCCTGAGTGCCCAGTCTAGTTTTCTTAGCGCCCAGTCTATTGGCCTTTGTGCCCTGTCTAGTGGCCTTAGCGCCCAGTCTAGTGGCCTTAGCGCCCAGTCTAGTGGCCTGAGTGCCCAGTCTAGTGGCCTTAGCACCCAGTCTAGTGGCCTTAGTGCCCTCCCAAAATGTATGAAATCAAAGGCCAAATGGCCTTGCTCTTCAACATATGAAATTTATGACGTGGCTGTAACCATTTTAGTTCATACTTATACTGAGTACAGGCACAATGCAGATTCATATATTAATCCTACTGGAACATCGTGTGATGATGCTACGGGAATAAGAATATCGACATGTTTTGACATCACAGATACACACACCCTTCTTAATCTATATTATGTTGACTGGGGAGTGTTTGCTGTGCTGCTGTGATAATGAGGAAGTGAAGGCAGCTCTGTGTACATCCATCACTCGCTCAGCGTCACAGCCTGACTGACATGTGGCTAAACAGAAACCTGTCAGATCCTCAGAAGACAAGTGAGACTGATTAATGAACAGATGAGTGCAACATCACGTCACTCAAAGCACAAACAAGCTGCTATTCCCACTTGGTATCCATCCATGCAGTTATTGTTACTGGCTGTGGTTTTGAGATCTGTCATCGTCCATAAACAAAGGAGCTGATGGAATTTTACCTGCAAACCATGGGTTCAAGTCACACAAACCAAGATTGAAGATCTGTTGGTATTCTATCATTTATTAGTTGGTGAAAAAGTGGCTCTCAGCCTTTAAATATACAAACCCCTTCTTTTCCCTCTTTAAGCTGTACTAATCAGTATTTTGACATATTATCAGTGGATCCAAGGACTGATGTGGGATGTAAAAGGGGTCACTTGTAGTGACAAACCTGCAGACAGTTTGCAGTTTACCTCAGTTCTGTGGACTGTTTTAGCGTCTTTCAGCTCACTGTGCTGGACTTTGCCATTTCCCCAGATTTTAGCCTGACATATCTGATATCTTTATTAATTTAGCAGATCAAAAATTAATGAATTAAAACTAATGTTCTGAGGGGTTAAAGGTTTGGCTGCACAACTAGAGTGTTAATAGGTGTTAATAGGTGTCTACTAGTTCGCAGGTTGTTGCTCCATCTATCACTACAGGACTTCAGAAGGTTAGAACAACAGTGTTGGCCCAGGTTCAATGCTGACTGTTTTCTGAATAATAAGATTTGCTTTAATTTCCCCATAACTCAACCTTGACTCACTCCCCATATAAACAGAGGATCAGTGCAGCCACTCTGATAGTTTAACCTGCACCTCATCCATCAGACATAGACACATTCTTAACAGGCTACTTTACAATCACAGACTCAGCTCAAATAGGCTGGATTGCCTTGAATAAATACACCACAAAACAATAGTGCTCACCATTTACATTAGCAGCATGAGGCAAGAGACAGAGAGAATGACTACACGGCCTGGCTTAGAGAGACCAAACTGGCCAGATAATAGACACAGGAGGTAAAGGCAATTAAATTGTAAGCAACAACCCACATATACACATATACTGTAAGTATAATTGATTTGTCCTCATTTTGGAGTGTCTCTGAGGTTTTCTCCCTGGTCAGAGCAGAAGTTCACCTCCAGCCGTGCAAATAACTTTTGATCACATGGTAATTAATTTGATTTATGCTCTTCATGGATAATTCAGGCACCCCGTTTTATTCTCCTTATAGCCTGCTCCTGGGTCTAGGCCCAGACATCGGACACCACTTGGACAGAATGCAGTGACCCTCTGGGTGCACTAACCTCGTTCATCCAGAAAAAGGCCATCTCAGCTCTCTCGCGGACGTTAAAGGCAGAGAAAGCCAACCCTTGTTTGCAATGTTAGTGGCTTTGCATGTAGAGTTCTGCTGAGGTGG